TATAGATGGAACGAGGGAGAGAATGTGCAGAAATAAGTGGGGATTTGAGGTGCTTTGAAATGGCCATTGTCGTTAATAGCAAGGTCCTTTATGAATGGGTGATTTACTTTACTGGGACATGGCATCTGGTTTGTGTTTGACTTGCATCTTGTTTTGGGAAAGTGAACCCCCTCACCTCTGGACGCTCCATGTTAACTTGAACAACATCCAAAGTCCGTGGGTTGATTCCCGTTAGTGGACAAATACGTTGCTTTAAGGGATTCATGAGAGTGAAACAGTTTAGAACTCACTAATGTCTTTGCTGTGTATCTACTATTACAGCTAATGCTGACTGTTAAGAAACTAGGAAAGATGCAGCTGTAGTCTTTGTTAAAATAGATTTGAATATGCAGGGTGATCGCAACCAGGTTTCTACAAGATTTTTATTACTGTTATACCTCTGCATTGAACCCCCTCCACTCATTTTTTTTTCTTCGCTCAGAGTTTCCCCTCTTAACCCCTGTGTGTGGGTAGCCTCAGGTTGCTGAGGTTAGGTTAAACAAGCCACCATCAAAGCCATATTACCACTCGGGTCAGAGGAGGGTCAGGGTGCAGCAGGGTGTGTGGTTTGAGGCCCTAACAGGAGGGCACAACTGCCAGCCAGCCAAATAGTACTGCCCTGGATGGTTACACAAGCAGCAAATCTATTATGTTCAGCTTTACTCAGTGCACAAAGCACAGCTGTCTGTGTAGCCATACCCCATCACTGAGCAATGCTGCTTGTGCCAAAGGAAAGTAAGTGGAAGAGCTGTTTTCTGCAAGTAAAAAACCATGAAATCATGAAAGTCAAGATTAGTGGGGGTGTTGAGGTGTGTCCCGAGTGTTGATATCCATTAATCTGAAAATTGCACTTCTTTTATGTATGAGACAGCTGTGTGACTGAAAGCTCTATAGTAGCCTTTTTGTTCTGGGTCTTTGAACCCTGAGGCATTTTACGTTCCTCCGATCCATCCCCAATATTCCTCCCAGGCTTAATCACATCGAGTACAGTAAGGGCTCATTTAAAGGGTCATTAGTGCTAATCCCCGAAAACAATTAGGAATGAGAAACAATGTGCTCTCTGGTCCTTTGACTCTGTCGAGGAATAAAGATTTCTTGTTAGTCCCAAAGATGTATAAAAGAAACTCACTTTCCTCAGATCACGCTAAATGACAAATTATTCTTTTCAAAAATTACGTGTTTATGAAAATGACATGAAACATTGTTCTCACAAAGGGCACTCATAAAATTCACAACATGCATTTAAATTCAGATGTTGGAGGCAAGTAAAAGGCACTGGCAATAACAGAAAGATTTAGAGGCCAAGAATGTAATAACTTTCAGACTTCATCATTTTACCGTCACACAGTCTTGTGTATTTACAATCTATGAAAACAAATCCACCAATGTTTAGGGCTGCTTGTACTGCAGTACCTTCACTGCTGCCTCTCATCCTTAAGTGTGCCTCAAGGCAAGGATCTGATGACATTTTGTTGAATGTGTGTACAAAACAAAACACTAAGAAGTCACTGTGTTTCAGCACACGGATCTAATTCAGTTAATTTTATGCCGTTAATCCTGATAACTAGCAATGATTAGAGCGGCATAAGCACTTTCCAACTCTCCAATCTGGACCAAATATAGTGTTAAATTGTCAATTTAAGTGAGTTTTAATCATTGACAATTCCCTACAGGAGGTTTTAGCACAGATTAAATGCAGATGGGAATGATGGGAATGTTAGCACACATCTACATCCACACCAGTGTTGGCCCTTATTACCGAAAGCTCTCTGGTCTTGTTGTCTTTCCAAGTTGACATCTTCAGCTAAGTTTTTAAGTGTGTGGCACCTCTTTCATCTCAAGATATTTGTGTTCCTTTTCTTTTTCAGTTTGGCGTTGCGTATTTGAAACATCATCAATGTGGTCAATCGCTGGAAAGTGTCCCCATGGGCTGACTCGTTTTATCATTCTCTGACTCAGACATTTGCATAGCACAAACAGACCCTCTGGATATTTTGAAGAGAATATCCGGAGTTCAGTGCATGTCTGAAAGCAGCTTTTGTCCACTATGTGATAGATGTGCACTGCAAAAGATTATGCTAAATATTCTGAAATATAATATGACTTATAAATAAATCGGATACATGCTACACATGCCATAGGTCTTATTGCAACCTGCCAACTGCCATGAGTTAATCTCTGCTCTACAAACAGTAGCTCCTAATCCCTACACCCTGGACTCGTCAGTTAGCTTGGCTTTTCCAGCAGCTTTATGTCCTATAATAAAATAATTGTGGCGTTTAATTTGATGAGGGATCGCTTTGAGATGGGCAGCTGTCAACCCATCCAGGGTCAAATGCAGAGCTCCTAGAAATCCTTTTGCTCATAAGTGAACTTCAGTTGACCTAGTGAGGAAAGTAGATCAGGTGAAATTAAGTTAGGATGAGAGGTAGCCCAAAGGACAAAGGGAGGTCTCACTCTTAATCATGGCAGCAGCTGTGTCGTTTTTGCCTGCGTAACTTGGGCCCGCGTCTTATTGGTCGTTATGTGTGGCACTTTAGTAGCCCCTGCCCTCTCCGTCATTTCAGACAGTGTAGCTATTGATGCCACCATGGCTAACCACATCAGCACCACAAGGTTTATTTCAGATTCCACAATGAACCTTCTTGTCTATTTTCTCACTTCTCTAAGTTGCATGAAGAGGCTATTGCTGGGAACCATTGGTATGTAAAATTGAATCTGTGCTGGGTGCTAACGTTACACTGGCTGGCTGAATGTCTTACAGTTGATTTCAGGTCCTCCACAGCTTGACAGAAATAGAGTTTTTTTTCTACATTTGGGTTGTGTCTATTGTTTCTGGGATAAGTTCCCATTTATGTAGGAGGATTTGGACCCTCGCAGCTGGAGAATGTGTATATGTGGTAGAAAGACTCATGTGTGAGTGTCTTATGACTTTTTGCGTGTCACCATATGTTTGTACAGTAGTTTGTGTTGTGTGTGTAATTCACTGTGAGGTTCTGTGCACTCTACCACCCTGTGCTGGAGGGGTGTTTGTCCAAACGGCGCCAATGTTTGCACAGGGCTGTCATGATGACTGGCCTGGCTGGCCCAGACGCTGCCCGTCTGCAACGTAGGAGAGACCAAAGTGCTCTTGAGCACCGTCTGACGCTTTGCTTATCACAGGCAGCTTCTTACCGGATGAATAGCAATGAGCAAAGCAGAGCCAGGCCAAAAACATGACTTTTCTCACCTATTCATTCAGATGTGTCGCCGGGGGGGGTTGAAAAGATGATGATGGTGTTCCATCAGTAAAAGGTTGTATTTTAATTTGCTTGATTCAGGATTTTCCTTTGTGTGTGCATGCATGGTCTTGTTGGACAAACCATGAAACAGTATACTAGTTACGATCTCTGGAAATGATCTTGTTTGATAGACTGTCATGTTTCTTTATCTAGTATCGCTCTTCTGTCTACATTATCTGAAAAAACTCAGGTTAGGGAATATTCATGAAGCAACTAAAGCCTCAGGTATAGATCAACATTGTGCTTTAATGACAAAACCCCTTAAAATGATTTACATACTTATCCATAGTGTCTTCTATTATGTGTCAGACTTCCGAAATTATTAACTATTCTAGTTTATAGTTTTAAGTCTGTCTTTCTGTAAATGAGAGAATAAGAGGAGGGAGCCACTCAGTGAGGTTTGACCAGGCTCAGGTGTCATAGACCTGCCATTTGTTTTCAGGCCATTAACTGAGAATAGGGAGCAGTATGGTGCCACTCAGTGGGATTGTTGCCCATAAGGCACTTTTTCACAGGCAATGATGGAGTACTCATTATTACAACTCCATAGTTCACTATCATAGCCAGAAGCTATTCTTTCACATTTATTCTCATTACAGAAACTTATCTAAAAACTTAAAATCATCTTTGCATTTTTATCTGGTACCTGTGCACTCGATCTTGTAATGTGGATTTAAGGATTCATATTCGAATTTTGTTATATCTAAGTGACACAATGATGACCAAAGTCTATTAACAATTTTTTTCTAAAGTTGGGACAAACTTTGGGTTAAGTTTAATATCAGTCTTCTACTAGTCACTGACATTTAGGCAGAGACCATGCAGACCTTTTTTGGACAACCATGACATTGTAAGTGAGCAAGAGGCTCCAAAGTGTTGTGATGATTCAGTGGTAATCTGTGATTGGCGACAGTGGCACTGGGGTTAATGTAGCGGAACCCTCTCTCCGCCTCCCGTGCCCCCTAACCCCCCTTACCACCTCCCCCCTAGTGTGGTCCCATCCTCCCGACCGACCCTCTGTCACGCTTGACTCACCGGGGGGTGACTTTTGAGTGACAGGTGGAAGGCGGAAGGTGATTGGCTCACGCAAGAGAGTGATTCAGGGTGTTTGAGAGCACACAGCCAATGGCTCGGTCTCAGCACACTTAGCTCAAAAACAACTCTCCAGCAGAGATGGAGAGTTTTCTGTGTGTGAGTGTGTGACACGGGAGAGAGTGGAAGACATAAGAAAAAAGACATGGGATTATCTGAGGTGAGATTTATGTTTCTAGATCTTCACTGCTCTATTGTTAAATAATATTCTAGTGGGTTGCTGTGATCAAGGAGTTTTTTTTATTTCAGTTCAGGAGAGTTGATTTGGGGGGGATTTTGTTTTTCAGGAGAAAGTACTGATGGGTTTTCAGTCAGCACGCAACATGTGTTTGAACTGCTGGGGAGGTTTTCTTTGTCAGACTTGAGGGCTTAAGCATGGAAGAATCTTTTTTTGGCTTTTTTGTTTAAACTGTTGTGTTTGAGTGTGATTTGTGACCAGATGAACACAATTAATGTGAAGTAAATATGCTAACATGTTCCTAAAAGAATCAAGGCCTTTCGTTCTGGGAGTATAATTCTCTGTTCTACATCTTTAAATGTTCCTTTTTGTGATGTCTCCATGTGTTTTCTCCTTCTGTCTCCTTACAGTCAAGCACGGCTGTGAGAGCTGCCCGGGTGTGAGTGAGTGGCCTGGCTGGACCTCTTCTCCCTCCCTTCGTTTCTCCATTAATCCTTCCATCTACCCATCCCATCTCCTGTCATCTTAGACACCATGCTGAGTCAGTGGCTGGTCTGCTTGGCCCTGCTGTCCCTGGACTGGGCTCCAGGCAGCTGGGCCTTCACCACCACCAGGGCTCAGAGCCTGAGGGGTCGCATCCAGAGAGACCGCAGAAACATCCGGCCCAACATCATCCTCATCATGACTGACGACCAGGACGTTGAGTTGGGTAAGGCTGGCGCACTTCCTTGCCTTCAGGGAAATATATCTGCCGTATTTACTTCCTATTTTTTTCTTACTTTAAATAACCGTTGTTAACTGTTTCTTCAAAGATCTCAGGGAGTCTTCCTATTTTTCGCTTGACGCTGTCTTTGTCTTTATGGGTATTTGCATTAGGATTATGTGGTCTTCCTCCACACATGAAATATTAAATAGATGCCATAAGCCTGAGCTGAATGGCCATCTGGCCTATTAACTGCTGAATTCTAATTATTTTTCCACTCAGGGAATTTGGTATGAAAAGGTCAAGTAATCTAAATAAACTGAATTGTTGAATCAGATAAATACTATTTCTCTATTGAAAATAATTGTCACCATTCAGTGTGATTTCAGTGTGTCTTAATCACTCAGCAGTAATCTTCGTCCCCTACCCTGCAGGTTCTCTACAGGTGATGAATAAAACACGTAAACTCATGGAAGACGGAGGCACTAGTTTTACCAATGCCTTTGTTACCACACCCATGTGCTGCCCGTCGCGATCCTCGATGTTGACGGGCAAGTACGTCCACAACCACAACACCTACACCAACAATGAGAACTGCTCGTCGCCTTCCTGGCAAGCTCAGCACGAGCCACGCTCATTCGCCGTCTACCTCAACAACACCGGCTACAGGACAGGTTGGTGAACGTGAAGACGTGCACACACAAACACTTGACAACACTAATAGAAAAGGGGCATTTCTCTATTAGTTACCATTTAACTCATACTCAAGACACTGTCGGTCACTCCATAGTCATTCTTTGTTCACATTAGTAAGCTAGACTCCACCACTGTGCCTGCTAGGTCGTTGTACTGTCTTATCAGACAGTGTCTTTTTGAATGATGGGCAGGCGTCGGACTGGGCAGCCCAGTGGGGTCTTATGGGCTGCAGCGTGGCCTGCGGTTTTCGAGCTGATGTGTTAGTCTGCAATTAGCCCTTTCTGGGACAGGCTGGCTTCCTGCCCAGCCTATCCGAGAATTCTGTAGAGTTGAGCCAGGGAAAAAGAGACGTGCAAAAAAAAAAAAAAAGTTGTGCGTCATATACTCACACACAGATAAATTCATACAGACATAGAGAATTAAGATTTTTATAGGAATAAGCAAACAAAGCAAGCACTGGTGCCCTCAGACTACATATTAAAAGAAAACTTTTCTCTCTCCTTCTCTTCTGCAGCCTTCTTCGGCAAGTACCTCAATGAGTACAATGGCAGCTATATCCCGCCTGGGTGGCGCGAATGGGTCGGACTGATCAAAAATTCCCGCTTCTATAATTACACAGTCTGTCGAAATGGTAACAAGGAGAAACATGGTGCTGATTATTCCAAGGTATGTGCTACCATCATTTCTAAAAAGGAACTATTAACTCAATTACTCATTTGTTTTCCCTTTATGACTCAATATGAAGAGTTCGCCTGACAAATTGCAGGTTCCACTCACTTATAAATATAGACAGTGAAACACTTCACTTATCACATTGGTGTGATCCAGGTTGGTAGGAATTCTCATTCCAGAATTAAAGGGAATGAGCCGCCTTGAGGTGCGTCTGCTCTTTCTGTGGCATCCCTTTATTATGACACGCTTTACCTCAACAATTAGATCCTGTAAAATTAAAGCATCTTTATGAGAAGCCAATGTTGCCTGTGATAAATACCACCTTGCACTTGTTTTTCTCTCTCTGTCTGCCACTTTCTTCTTAATTTCGATTACAAAGTTAGTGGATGTGTTCGTGCTATACAATAAAAAATGAAGGGGGAATTTCACTTTGTCACTGTCAGACTCTGGAAATGAGCACTGTGGTTACACTGTCCTTTCGTGGCGCTGGTTGGCATCAGTAATCAATCTTCCCCGAATGTTTTTATATGAGCTGTCAGTTTGTTTTTGAGGCTCCATGCCAGTATCTTCCACAGGTAGCATAGTGCAGGGGACGTGAGGAATCCAGGAGGTGGGTTTATAGTTTGGAGACATGTCAAATTTCAAGATGGCCTGCCTGAAAGATGGACAAACAAATGTTTGGACTGCTACTCCTCTGCCAACTTGGACTGAGGTGTAAAGTTACCCACAAGATGAGGCCAAGGTGTTTACATGACATGGGTTTGGTCAGCAGATGGTGGTTTAACACCAAATGGATACATTATTCGCTATTTATTGCCAGAACCATTCGACCTGTCACCACAAGGTCAACCACAGCTCCTCTCTTTGCATCCACACAGGGTGAGAAGATCCTGATATTCCACACAGACAGCGGCTGGCACACATAGTCATTTTTATTAGATGAGGCACTTACCCAGTGATTTCATCCAATTAGATCCCATCTGATTTTCCATCCGCAGGGGATGAGTTCATCGAGGTTAAAGCCTTTGTCGAAGACCTTTTGTGTGTGATTTAGCTTGAGAATATGATCCCTACACTTTTTATTTCTTTAGATTCCATGACAGAAGACAACTGTCATGTAGACAGAAAAGCAGCCTGCGTTGGAAGCCAGATTCAATATGTTTCTACTGATCAGAGATCAAGCACCTCTAAATTAGTCCAATAAATTTGAAGCCACAGCTCCCTGCTGCATCGACAGTCAAACCATAAAGGTTTAACATTTCAGAATCACAATTTAAATGGAAGAATGCCATTAGGAAATTGAGCCACACGTGAATGTGTTTGTATAATGTGACTGCCACTTAGTAATAATCATCTCCAAATGGTTCTGGGAAAAATGATACTCTTCACCCCCCTGACCATTTTATAACTGTTGCCCAGGCATTCCCCTTGACACTGTCACTTCCTTCTGACCTGCCAGAGGCCTGAGCAGTGGTGGCTCAGATTTTGGAGGGCACATGGCAACGCTTTTCCATGTGCACGCAATCACCAGCCTCCATGGGCATGTACAGCTGCCAGGCCATTAAAGCTGGCCCTGGCTATAAAGCCTATTAATAGAGACAGGATGAATCAGCCAAACCCACATCTGACACTTCAGGGAAATCACCCTTTACCCTTTCATTCTCAACCTGGCACTCCCATCCGTATTTTGTATGCCAGACAGCACCAGTGTTATGCCAAAGCTGCAGGTAGAATGGTTAATCTACTGTTGGAAACTTGGCATTGTATTGTGACTTTAGGGTGTGATCTACTGTAGATTTAAAAAAAAACACCCCATCACGCCTAAAAAAGGTTCTATGATCTTTACAATAAGTAAACTGATTCATTCAGTTGTCTTCTCCTTGCTCATGCATCTAAAATATTAAAAAAAACGGAGCACTCACAGTCAGGACCTTGTGTACTCCAATACACAAATTTCTTATTTTAGTTTCCTGATTTGAGGTTATTGTGTCTGATTTGTGTGTTTCCTCATCTCCAAGAGTGAATCACTGAGAGGGAAAGAAAAGAAGACTTGTTAAGATAAAATGGAATAAAATTAAATGAAGCTAAATAAGAGAAAGGGAACGGATAGTCAAGAGAGGAGTAGAGGGGGCTGAGGGGGTTGGGAGCTGTCATAACAACATACCATTCGAGAGCGCCAGGCTCCTCTCACCATCAAGCGGTGTCACATTCAATAGTGCAGAGATTCATTGATGAGGCAACAGCCCATGTACTGTATACACATACACACAGACTCAGGCACGCACACGCTCGCATTTACACACACACCGGCAGGCTGCCAGCTGTTGACTCGACAGATTGGTAGTGTAGTGTACTCAATGGCCCCAGTTCATATCCCCACTGGCCCCTCTCCATTTATTTGAAAATGACTGGATGGGGGAAAGCAACATGTCATGGTGAATGGACTGCGAATGAGTTTTTATCAAAGCTTGAGTTGTTTTGCATTTTTCCCTCAATTCCACCTTCACTTTTACCCTTCTCTAGATGTGAGTTTACCTCTGTAGCGCTTATTAACTCTCATGGTTTTGCTCTTCTTTCCAGGACTATTTCACAGATCTGATCACCAACGAGAGCATCAACTTTTTCCGCATTTCCAAGAAGGTGTACCCTCACCGTCCTGTCATGATGGTCATCAGTCACGCTGCCCCTCACGGCCCAGAAGACTCCGCGCCTCAGTATGCAGAGTTCTTCCCGAATGCTTCTCAACACATGTAAGTCACACTTGCGTGATTGCACCCATTCAAACACATACCTAACTATTTAGTGCTTCAAACCCTGTAAAGATACAGCTTTTATCTTCTGCCATGTAAAATTTTTCTCTTTAACATTCAATTTGAGTTTTTATGATTTGGCATACCTAACGTTATTACAGTACGGATGTCCCTCAATCCCCAGTGATGACAGGTTGCTGAGAAGCTGCTGGTGCTTAAGTCTCAGCAAGCATGAAATCAAAATGATTTATCATCCGAGAATAGCTGGGGCACATACCATGGAGAAGATCGGGGGTGGCTTTTTCACGGCGCGCTCCACTCATGCAAAGCTTGCACTGGCCTCTCACAACACTCATCGCCGAGTTGTGGCAGCACTGCAATAGTCCGGGTCATTCCATGGCAACGCGCCCTGCCATCTCTTGGTTGACCCTCCAACTGGCTCCCAGGGAGCACCACTCCACTGAGTGGGGGGTGGGTGTTGTCAAAGAGAAACGGGGGGGTTCAAGGCTGCAAGGCTGGTGTTCCTGCTCAGAATTCCTTGTTTTTGCTCTTTCGTTTCCTCACTTTTCATCCCACTTAACATTCCCCTCTGTCTGTTTGCTCAATGTCTGTCACTCTATCTCTACATCTCTGTTTCTGTCCGTCTCTTTATCTCTCCAAGCTCTTTATGTCTCCCAGCGCCTCATTTCGTTTTCTCATCCCTGCTTGCTGTGTCCACCCTCCCCTCACATGTGTAGTTTGCAAAGGACTTCCTGACCCTGTCCATATCAATCAGTCGTTTCTCCCGCGGCTCCTGGGATGAGAAGAATGCATTGTGTGCTTTGGAACACCCTTTGTGGCATTATTAATCTATTTTTACTCCGAGCCTACGGGTGTTGGGGTGGAGCTGAGGCCTGAGGGTGACAAAAGAGGTTGCCCCAGTGATTCTGTGTAGGTGCAGTGTGTTTGGAATATGTGGTGTGGTTACTGCAGTACCACAGGTAGTTAGCATGGGTGGGTGTTTGTTTTGGTGGTTGTTGACAACACATCCAAAACAGATATGGGAAAAAAATTCCCACAGACGAATGTTGTGAAGGAAATTCTATTTTATAAATGATTGATGTTTTTGACATTCCATTTGAGATTGAGTTGCTGCAGCTTTATTTGGACTGACACTTTTTTTATCTTTGCAGCAGATGCTATATACAGCTAATGTGCAATGCACAGAGTAGGGAAGAGACTGCGTGGCAGAGAAGGAGGAGCTCCCTCATAAATCAATTGAGCGTCTGTACTCCTGACAGCAACAATAGCAGGGGAGGATTTGATGTTAATGTCATTAACATTCCATACTGTAGGTGCTTTCACACTGTCTCTTAGATGTGAGCCACTTCCTCGCTCATTTTAAACACTATAGAGGTGTTGGAGTTTCTCAAGGTCTCTACAGCAGGGAGGATACAGAATGAATCTGGTTAGAGCTCAACAAGCTGCTTCAGGCATCATCACTAACCCTCATGCGGGATGTGTCTGTGTTAAGGTTTGAAAGGTCAGGAGGTATTTTGGGTGAAGAATGGGCCCTGGGCGTCTGTAATACAGGGCTGATATACCACAAACCGCTAACCTGTATGTTACAGGTGTGACCTCTCCTATGCACTGGCTTCATTCCAGTGACCCCTGCATTCCTGGTTATGTTGTGCCCAGAGCCCCATACCTTGGTGGCCAATTGCCTAGAGACAGGTCCCTTTGTGGGGCTTATTAGACCGCCTGGCTAGGTGGGTGAAGAGTTCACCCTTCTCACAAAACAGGCCTGAGGAAACAAGGGCAGAAGGCAGCTCACTCAATCAGAGCAGTAAAGCTCCCATAGCAGGTCTTCATTAAGTAAATCTTGATACTTTGTCCAGTAGCTGATTATTCAGGAGTAGAGACCAGTGCATTCATAGTTTGTTTTAGGATTAATTACTTTTTGTTAAAGGGAAAATGACATTCTACCATGACCAGCTACAAAGTTGACTCAGATTCCTACACACAACACATACCTACAGTATATTAATGATGTACTCTTTTGCATTGAATTGAAACCTTGCGGGCACAAAGTCAATCACATACAGTAGTCTATGATATACCCTTCTCCTTTACGTGAACAGCTTCTCTCACCATAACTCCACAAACAGGACTGTCTCTCCCTGCCTTTTGCTGTTTATCCTAATCTTGTTATTCTCCCCATTTTAAATGACCATGACTTATTGAGTTTTTGCTCCAGAAGTTGTTGCAAACATGACTTTGGGGCCTATTATTTTCTTAAGCATGTGCCAACCCTCAAATGACTTGTCTGTGCCAAGTGCGCAGTGGAGCGAGGAGACTCTCGTCTCTGTGTGAGGGGAGAGATGGCCGGGGAGAGGTGTGGAAAAACTGCGAAGGTGCTGGCTGCTAAGTATTAAGACATTTCCTTCAACAAACAGAGCATTGATGCGTGTCAAAGGCAATGGACAACTGTGGCACCTGTTACTGAGCAGCACTTTGTGAAAAGTAGCAGACAGGTGTTTTGGGGGGTTATAAATGAGCTTTTCGTAGCTGTTACTCTGATAACTCACATGCAGACAGACATCCATAAATACACTACCACAATGGTTATTATGCACACAGTATACATATATGTCTTCTAAATCCTAAACCAAACCATATTTTAACATGCATGTTTTTCTCTCTGTGCTCCCTAGCACCCCCAGCTACAACTATGCCCCAAATATGGACAAACACTGGATCATGCAGTACACAGGCCCCATGAGACCCATCCACATGGAGTTCACCAACTTCCTCCACAGGAAAAGGCTGCAGACACTCATGTCTGTGGATGACTCAGTGCAGAAGGTAAGTTCTTATATTTAAAAAAGTATTATTTAAGAGCTGTAATCTTTTGTTTATTAATTGTTTGGTCTTTGGTATGTAGCTGGTCTAATTATTTGTTTTTTCCCTCTTCCCTACCCTTCAGGTTTTTGATATGCTGGAAGAAACTGGAGAACTGGAAAACACTTACATTATTTATACAGCAGACCATGGCTACCACATCGGTCAGTTTGGGCTGGTCAAGGGCAAGTCGATGCCTTATGACTTTGACATCCGTGTGCCGTTCTTCCTGAGAGGACCCAATATTGAGCCAGGGGCAGTGTAAGTATCAACTAAAATCATTATTAGTGTTTTTCCAGATTGTAAAAGGTCAAGGCTGTGTGATCTTAAAGTTCTTTCACTTAGTTCCTGAAAATGTATTTAATTTTTTCCAGTTATATACATTTGACATGTGTTTCAGAAGATTTAACTAATTTAATGTTACACGCTCTTTTTCAGAAACCCTCATCTGGTGCTGAACATCGACTTGGCTCCTACGATTCTCCACATCGCTGGGCTGGACACGCCTCCAGACATGGATGGAAAGTCAATTCTGAAGCTGCTGGAACAGGAAAGGACTGGCAATAGGTCTGTATGCCATGCTGTATTGTATAGTTTGTACAGTAATTACACAGTGGGCATTATATTTGCAACAGTTCTGCTCACTGGCCGTTTGTGAGCAAATGCAAATGTCCATGGCTCAAATGATCACTTTGACTCCAGCTGAGCACAAAGTGGGTTCAGGGTATCTTTTCCTTGGCTGAGGTTCATCTTCTGAAGATTCCCGTAATAAATGTTTGCAACTTGAATCATCAATTGTGTCTCTGGCAAACCCAATATGCTTGAACAATCATTTACTTGAGGCATTAAAAGGCACAGACTAGTATTGTTATTATATCTACATACAAGAGAAAAAAACTCAGATCAGTCACATTGCTTCTCTGGAAAACATTTCCACAGAAACAGAGACAGACAGAAAGAACTGAGACAATCAGTTTAATGCACAAAGAGCAGATCAACTTCCATGATGTTGGTTAGCTGCATGTCCAACATATTGTATTTGATGGTGAGTGCGTATGCCATACGAATTCTATAATACTCTTTTGCGCTTTGTTTTCCCAGATTCAAACCCAACCGGAAACCCAAAGTCTGGAGAGACACATTCCTGGTGGAACGGGGGTAAACTGGAGTTCTTTATTCATTTTCTACACCACAGACACATCCATGTCATTTTAGAGCATTGTGTGTCACACAAACTTCACAAAACATTTCAATGAACCTGAAATATTAGCTCGTCTAGTGACCCAGCTGCTTTCCCTATTATTTGTGAGCTGACAGACATTTCCTGACTCTGGCCAGCTTGTAAGGCAGTGACAGTAGAAGAGGTTGCAACATCCAAGGGTTAGGGTTTGGTAAAGCTGTTTGGTAAAGCTTTAAGCTGCTGGCAAAGTATGACAGTTCACACAAGAGGCACTGATGCATGTGTAACCAGTTTATTTTCTCATTTACAAGAAATACAAGCGGAGTCTTTCTCTTCTGAAGGGGTCTTCTGATCGGGGCCCTAAACCTGACTCAGCCTCCTGTTTGTGCGCTGGCTGAGACAGACGGAAGATACATTTCAGTAACATGGCACAGCTAGACACACGCAAAATAAACAAAAGCTAGCCAGGCTCAGGATGATATTACCTGAGGAATGGCTGGAAAGCTCACACTCGGTCCACTCACAGGACATGTCACCAGCCCTCCCAGTGTGGAATGCAGCAGCCACACTTCAGCCAACGCTTCACTGTTTCCCCAAGACTTTTTTTTTCTGTGTAGTGCACGCGATTGCATACCGTACGTGTCTCTCTCACAAACCCTGTCAGTTCTTTATTTAACCTCTCCTCTGCTGCCAGATATGTTGCAGAAAATGATACCGCCAATCTTACAGCCTGCTTTTGTTCACTTAACATGTTAAGCTGTGCTAATGCCAGAGATATACTGACAGAAACCTGACATATAATCCCATCATTCTTATCTTTACATGATGCAGGTAACCAAAGAGAAAAACGTTTCAAATTAAATAAATAAGCAAGAAGAAGAGAGGAAGATTAGAAAGTGGACAGAACAGTAACCCAGGTTGAGACCAGGTCATGTTGGCAGAATGTGTTGATACTGTATATTACAGTAGATCACTTTCTCACTTACAGCTGCTTTTTTCCCCACAATAATTTACTCACAATCCCTTTTTTTCCGAATCACTGTCTTGGCCCTTCCATTTACTTTCCAATGATTTGCTCATTGCCAACAACTGCGTCAACATCTGCAGACTCCAAGAGTGAAAAAGAAAAGGAGCCAGTCAGCTCTGCCGCCACACATACACATCAGTCTCCTACTGGCGTATGTTTATGCGACAGAAGAACTGGCTGGACGTGGGCCGCTGTGTATGAAATGAAAAGAGTGTGACTTTTGACCCGTCGTGGCATTAGCTCTTTTAATCCATTCCGCCATTAATCTACATTGTTTAGAAGGGCTGTCTGCCTTCGCGCTTGTCTCTTAATGCTGAGATTAGCCTCCACAGACCTTTCACTCAGACACAGATGGAGCGGCACACACACAGTAGCTAATGTTTTTTAGTACAGTTCTCTCACTGATCATGTGATGTGCTCTATAATTTAACTTCCTCACATGACCTCACAGTGCTGTACCTCTGAGCCTGTTAAATCATGACTGACAGCTGGGACTGACTATGTTATTTGAGGATCTAATCATCGACGTAACGCAGCCATCAGGGACTGACACCGACAGAGACTGTTAGCTCTTTAATCACCCATGGCTAAAGACAAGAGACCACTGCCAGGCCAGTGTGTGAACATTGGCCCCTCTCCCCTGGAACTGTGTGGCAGACAGGAATTGGTCGAAACAACGGCCCCACTCTTGAAGGGGACAGGTTGTTCTTTGCTACGTTGTCGCCGTCTTTCTGTCTGTGGGTCATGTGCAGCCATGCCATGTTGGCACAGAGTTGCTGGGGATACAGAAGGGGATGGGGGTGCGCTGGCATAGCCTAAGCAGAGACTCGGCCAGTCCTTGTGGTGGTGGTGGCAGAGGAGGAGGTGGCAGGGCAGTTGAATGTGATGCCAAGCCGAGGTCAAACAGCTTGGAGCTGAGCTCTATGCCCAGACCGTCTGGCAAACACAGATGCTACATAATCTATCCATTCACTGGCTTTGAGCATGAGAAGCACACAGTGCTGTGGCAGAAAGAGAAACAACAGGAAATACTCTTCTAGTAAAGAAAACTTAAATTCAGCTCTTTTTAGTTCAGTGATACTTTAATAGTTTAGCAGCATAATGATTCCCTGAATGAGTCTGTTTATCAATGATGATTTTCTCCTCGTTCTTTTTTGTGTCATGTAGAAAGATCCTGAGGAAGAAGGACGACTCGGTGAACACTCAGCACACCAACAGTCTGCCCAAGTACAAGAAGGTCAAAGAGACCTGCCAGCAGGCCGAGTTCCAGACACCCTGTGAACAGCCCGGACAGGTAAAACAAACGCACCAATGTAAATACAAGACAACTTGTTTCTGCAAACTGTTGTGAACAGAAATAACTGCCTCTGATATCCACTTGTGGAAAAGTGGAGCCAGTTTTCCTCACAATAATGAGTACTACCGTTGAAGAGGCCTCCATGCTGCCTTTTGAACTGTTCTGCAGAACCTGCGGCTGAAATAGTCATTTACAGTGCACCAGCCGCTTTGTAATTGGAGCCTTTTGCACTTTTTTGTGGTGCATTAATTTGTTGGTACTTCTGGTACTTTCATCCGTGCCCATTAATTTTCTGGCAGACCGACGTCCAAGTGGTACAGTACGCAGCCTTGGAGCAGACAGACCAGAACAATGCAAATTGTTACAAGTTTCAGGTAGCGTTAAATGACAGGCAGAGTCTCTGAGGGGATCTCTAATGCAACCCAGATCCGGTTTATGGTCTTATAAATGTGTGTTTGTAACAATCAGTTATTAAGTACAGCAATGGAGCAATTCGACTCAGCAGCCAGAGTGTTGTTTTGTGTGTATGCATGTGAGCGCGTCGGCACCTCCCAGCCGCAACAGTGGGGCTGGTATTGTTTTCACATGTGTGTGTGTGTGTTTATGACAAAATGTCTTTCCGTGGACAGATTTTGTCTCTGCAATAGCGTCACTGTACAGATACCATCACAAAACTTTACTGGTGCGTAGCTGAGGTCAAAATAAAAGCCTGAGTTTGAAGATAGGTTTGGTGCTGACTCCTCATATAATAATGTAGTCGTAACTACTGAGTACTCATGGGTCTGAACGTCCACATGTTGAGAGGCCTCTGAACTGGTGTGATCACTAGATGCTCTCTAGTTTACAGTGCATACATCATAATATGTTGCTGCATTTGGTCATAGATTGCCCCTCTGGCTTGATTATCATGACCACCCAGTGAGCAGCCTCAGTCACTGGAGTGTTTCTTACACAATTACAGGGGAGATGTTGCTCACACACTGCAGGCAAGTGCTTGATCCCCTTCTTTATTTCATTGTACTCATTCTGTATATTGCAGTATATTCTATCAACTGAGTTGTTTGAATCAAGAAAACCTAGATTCAAACAACCTCTGCTTCACTGTAATAAAAGCTCAAACCTTTCATTTGAAACTGATTTAATTCAGAATGAGAGAAGATTTGTTTTTGAAAAGCTTGAAAACCCTAATGTCCTTTCACCACATCTTGGTTCAGACAGAGCAGATTTTTTTAGAGCACAGCCTCTGCCGTATTTTTGTTGCGGTTCTTTGGAATCGATCATGCGATAACTGTATGGGTTTATTGTGGGTACACCAGATCTACTCCCCATGGACGTGGAGTAACCTCTGTTACTGCATTTTTTGCGGGGGCACACAAAAGTGTGAGTGACTTGCGGTTCTTTGGGTCTTCCACTGACCCCACTCAAGTTTCAGCTTGCATGGTCATTCATGTCTGCTCCCACCCAAACGCTCTTTCAGTTTCCCATCCATCTGTGTCCTGCTGTTGAGATTGAACTGTTGAGCCTTAAAAACTTGCACCGGGGGTGTGGAGGAGGAAAGAGGAAAGTTGTTTTAATCAATACATCTCTCGCTCCCTCATGCCTTGTCTGATGTAACAGCTCTGTTGGTCATTAAGATCTAAGCTTTTATATGAGCCTTACAAAAGAAACCTGATTTTCCTTACGGCCCTTTCTGTTAACACTCTCATTCCACATTCACCACTGATCATCTGTCCTCTGCTCTGCAGATGTGTCTCTTCCATTTATACTAAACCTCACCAGTGGCACTGCTCATGGCAATTAGTCTCAACTTTCCTTTCCTGGTGGGAACGAGTGTTTAGAAAGAAAGACGGAGGATGTAAGTGAGTGCGTGGATATGTATTTACATAAATTTGCTGGTGACGCACTTGGCGTGGACATACCTCGTGTGAGAGTGATAGGGGTTTCCACTTTGTTTTCGAGACACCAGACAGACCCAATTCATCTCATGTGGTCGTTTTGGTTTATCTTTCCTGCTTCTTTTGGATGTAATTCTTTCCCACAGGCTGAGATCTGCCTGATGCGTCTGTCAGAGGCATGAGTTTTTTAAAATCGCTACAAAACCAGAGGCTTTGCAGTGAAACCTGAGATTACACTTTTCATATTGTTAACATCTACAACACTTTCTTACTGTGCCAATAAAATATTTTCATTGCTAAAGAAACAAAGGGGAAGGTCCTGAAAGGAATTAGGTCAAGGATACTTTTAATTGTTAATTTTTTGAGAGTCAACAGAGAAAACAGTTGGTCTCCCTATTTTTCCTTGCAGAAATGGCACTGTGTGGAGGAGATTACAGGAAAGTGGAGGATCCAGAAGTGTAAAGGTGGTTCAAAAGAGGGCTCCAGAAAGAGGGCCCGCAGCCTGAAGCCTCGCAGCAGTTATGACAACAGAGAGAGGGGCTGTGACTGCGGGGATGCTCTCTACAAACCCTCCAGAGCGGAACGCCGCTCCCATCGTCAGTTCTCATCCTCATCTGGTCACCGTAAGTACATGTAATGAAAATCTGTTGAAATCATGATGAATGTGTCTTTCGTAATAAAATGCTGTAAGAGTATTGTTGCTGATCAGATACATGGAAAAAGCAAACATCTTGCAACAAGTCCTGGCATTTGTTCTGTGGATGTTGACTTGTGTATCTACTGTATGTTGGGATTGTGCTTTGACGCCCTCTAGTGTAGCTTGAAGAGGGTGCAATGGGAGAATGAACTACCGGCGAAATGGCCTGAAAGGTGTATAAGAGATGCCGTGAAAGTTGAACACTAATTCAAAATAAACAGTATGAAATAGGAGAATGAGAACATTACTTGACTTATTACTTGATTTTTCTTTTTTTATAGGTTATCGGCCACGCTTTGTTCACACCCGGCCCACCAGGTCTCTGTCTGTTGAGTTTGAAGGACAGATTTATGACATTGATCTACAAGCAGATGATCAGTCAGCTGTCCGCCGCCGTGTCATCTCGAAGCGTCATCACAACCAAGAGGGACCAGAGTTTGATTTGGGGACGGACGATGGATCAGAGGAAATGCTGGCAGACGATACGAATGCTGTGGGATACCCGAACTCTGTGAAAGTCACACACAAGTAAGAAATCAATCTCAGTAGAAACCTTAATCTAACTTTACACCGTATGTCTGTCAAAAGGAGAGTGTGTAACAGTTTTTTTTTCATCTTTTCCAGGTGTTATATTTTGATGAATGACAGTGTCCATTGTGAAAGAGAAATCTACCAATCATCCCGAGCCTGGAAAGACCACAAGAGCTACGTGGACCAGGAGGTGAGATCTTTGGCTTTACAACACAGCACTTCACTTCTAACGCATTTTGTTAGAGGTCAAAGAACTCTCACAGCAGATAGTATAAAGTGTTTGTTTTTCCTAGATCGAAGCACTTCAAGACAAAATCAAAAACCTGAGGGAAGTAAGAGGCCACCTGAAAAGGACACGACCAGATGAGTGTGACTGTGGAAAGAAGAGGTTCGTCATTTACATTTCACTGCAAAAATACTATCTCTTCTGACTTTATTGTGTTTCCATACAGAATGTAAGTTATTCATGTGTTTAAAGGCCTCAGGCTGAACGATGTTGGACTGCACGGTCAAAAAGTTTTCTTCCACAGTACTTAGTCTGTGTCTCTGTTTATAAAACCAGCTATTATATCAAAGGAGACAGAAACAAGGGAGAGAGATTGAAGAGCAGGAATGATCAGCTCCACCCATTTAAGTGAGTTTCCCTTCCCCTTTAATTCGCCCATTTAGTGTCACCTCTTCACCTGTAGATTAACACTGACCATTGAATCTGCAACTAAGTGTGTGAATAATGTGTTTAATGATGTTGGATGTCTGCATGGTCCCTGCATGTCAGGTTTAAACAAGTGAACTTCACTAAAGATTCCAGATGACCAGTTCAGCATGTGTGCGTGTGTGCCGTTATATGTTGATGATGTTTGTGAACCGAAAACACACACAGGTTTCTGAAGGAGCCATGTCATCATCTGTCTGTGTGTGTCTGGAAGTGATTGAGTCGCATGGAAAGATGGAATGACTCAACAGAGGGGAAATCAGTCAGTCGCTCAAACACAGCGATCAACTTGCACCAGGAAACATTGAGAACAGATTATGCCAATACAAAGCAGCTGTTTGTATTTTTTCCTGCAGTGCCTTTTTTGTGTTCAGTCAGGGATGAAGAAGAGAACAGTGGCTGTAATGTCATCCTAGAGAAAATTGGACATTCTAAGAGCTTAAACATGAAAGTAAACACATTGCATAGCCTGGCACCAGTGATGCCTTCTGGAAGTCCCCTCCAGATCCTCCACCACTTTGAGGCCAGGGGATGACGACATATTTACGCCCCCGCTGTTTCTAATACTCGTGTCTGCTCGACAGGGAGGCTGCTCAGGAAATAGACGGGAAGGCGCAGTTGTACAACGAGATCCGGAGACGGAAAAAGGAGAGGAAGGAGAAGAAGCGTCAGAGGAAGGGGGACGACTGCAGCCTGCCTGGACTCACTTGCTTCACGCACAACAACGACCACTGGCAGACTGCTCCTTTCTGGTCATGTATGTATATTCACTTCAGGCTCCTCACAGCACAGGAGAGTTACTCAGAGGAAGCTCCAGTCTTAGTTGTTCGGGGAAAAAAAGTGGGGTACAAGCCTTGTTGGAGAGCACTGACAGAGGTTCAAGAATCACTGGAACTTTTTTTTAACCTTAAGATGTGTTTCTCAATATCAACTCTTTTTAAAACAAGAATTTCAATTAATTCAGATTTCGTAACAGCAGTCAATCCACTAATCTCCAACTTCATCTTCCTTTAGCTCCTATAAAGAAATTCTCAGTAACTGAGGTCTATTCAGACATTACTAGTTGCAGTAAGAATGACGGACTCTTCGTTCCTGTCTAGTGGGCGGATTCTGCGCTTGCACCAGCTCCAACAACAACACCTACTGGTGCCTGAGAACCATCAACGAGACCCACAACACACTGTTCTGCGAGTTTTCCACTGGCTTCCTGGAGTACTTTGACCTAAACAGCGACCCCTACCAGGTGGGTGACCATCTGCCTACTGTCGTGATCCAGCTGTTGTCAGTGTCTGTCTGCTCTCAAACAGTTTTTTCATCGGATGACACTGATACAAGGTTTATGCATGTGTGTTTCGCAGCTGACCAACGCAGTGTACGCAGTGGATCGGGACGTCCTGAACACGCTGCATGCTCAGCTCATGGAGATGAGAAGTTGTCAGGGATACAAGCAGTGTAACCCTCGACCTAAGGGCCTGGACACAGGTAAAACTCTCCCCTGTAGACTTTTTAATGCCCGCACCTTCCTTCAGCTCACAATGAGATGTTTGAACCTACAGACTGATCGCGACGCACTGGATTTAGTGGATTTAGTTGTCACGCCAACGATGACTGAAACAGATTCTACACAAAGGGGAATTAGAGTGAAGTTAAATGTTGAACAAAGTAATCTGCTTTAAAGATGACCATATTTCAATTGAGTTAGAAGAACATGAAATAATAATTTGAGGGGTGGGATGGTTATTCCTAATATTTATTTGTGATTTCATTATAATGTGTTTTGAATCTGTTTCGGTTTCGGTGGTGTGTGTGTGTTTGTGTGTGTTTGTGTGTGTTTGCACAGACTGTATCTGCATGCTGCATGTGTTTGGGGAGTTTCAGGTGGAGGTCGACGAATCATCACTGAGTCTTGTGTGTGTTCTCTGTTGATGTTTGTTTGATGTGTATCTCATCATGACACACACACACACACACTTATGCACACACACTCTGACTTTTCTCTCTCTCAGCCCAGGACCTTCCATTCTGCTGGAATAATACACCCCTCCCCTCACATGTCCATAGCTCCAGTGTTTTGATGTAAAGCCCTCTGCAGTCAGTACCGTTAAAATGAGACCATGTTCCAGTTGTGCGTTTTGGCCACAATCCTCTTTGTGACTCACTTAGTGTGAGAGAGATTATTTGGAGGATGCTGTCATCACGGCAATCGGAGCCTGACATGCACCGCTGTTATAATCAGCCGCAATAATTTTATTTTACGACCAGCAGACCTCTCATTGATGGAGTTGGTTAATAAGTCAATATCTCGATGACCTAAGCTCGTGAGACCCGAGCTGTGGCGTTCGTGTGTGGCACGAAGCGGCTGCATTGTTTATGAATAAAAACTTCATGTCTGTAATTACCAGCTGGAGAGCAGAGCACAGGGGCGGCCAAGCTGCTCTCACACAACTGATTGTGTTTCAGTGCTGGCACGGCGGACTTGTCAAAACCATGCCAACACGTCACATAGCAGCTGAAAATCTCTTACTCGCACTGGCTGCCCTCGCTCGGGGGACGACGCCAGCTCCCCGGACCAGTGAAAATTGCTGTTGTGGTTACACCAAGTGATGTTTTGGTTGGAGAAATAGATTATTAGAATTTAACCGTGGGGTGAAATGGATCGAGCAGTCACTCGCATCTGTTTGTGGTGTTTCACTTGAAACCATGATTATCACCTTGTGTGTTTTGCTTCGAAGGGGAAACCCAGTCAACCTCTCCGAAACACAAACCACTTCACTCCGATCGCTCCTTATCTCTCCATTCAGCTCCGATCACACAATCTTCTCCCCCTTGTTCTCTTCATTCTCCTCCCTCTGATCATGCAATAATCGCATTTCTCCATAGGCAGTAGCAGCCGTGCATGAAGAAATCTCCAGTGTGAATGATCTTTTTATTTCCCTCCCCACGTCTCCCTGAATCAAAGCATTAACAATCGATTGCTTCTATTTTTCCGATCAGGAGGTAAAGATGGAGGAAGCTATGAGCCACACAGGTATCCACCCAATTTTATTTTATCTTCAGTGGCTTTTTTTGTTTAACAACCTGCATGGCCCTGAACTGCCTCATTATTATTATTCCCACTAATCCATCCATCCATCCGTGGAGTGCCGGCGCTTGGTCTGATCTGTGGCTGCATGCTGGGGACACGCTAACAACTCAGCTACAAAACGTTTTGTTTTTCATGAAAGCTTCATTTGTTGTCATATCTGTGCCTTCACCTTCATCTGCCGTCTTCATGAAAGAAGCATTTCAAACATTCTGTGCCTTTTCACACCTTTGCTTGAGAGTGCAGCATTTAGCGCAGTTGCCAGTGTTTCAAAATGGATTTCAGTTATTCTGAACGTAGCATGGTTTAATAAAAAACCAGGACATCATAAAAGGGAAAGGTGCTGAAATGTGCATCTACTTGAGATCAACCTGAGCATCAAGTGCACGTGAATGACAATGCATGATACCTATCACCCCCCCACTCATGCATCACATTCCACACAAAAGGAGTTTGACGTTTCTGTGGAAACGAGATGATTTTCTTTCTTGTTTTCCCCAAAACGTCCAACTGCTTTTTTTAACGTCACCCTCCATGCCACCAATAAACAGTCATCACATTAGCGTGACACTCTCGCACATCCGCTCATGGCCGCCAGCTAGTGGTAGAACGGACACTTGAGTTGCCTGTCCCTCCCACTGACCTTTTCTGACCTCTGTTTCTGGCACCCGCTAACCAGGCGGCAGCAGCACCGAAAGTGGTCAAAGAGGAGACCGAGCCTCTCCGTCCTGTGAGTCCCTGAGCCTGTGTCGACCATCTGTAGCTGCAGTAGTAGTACAGCTCACCTCACAGGGAAAGCTGAACAAACGTGGCATTGATTCTTCTTTCTCCTCGGTTTTTAACTTGCAGACATCAAACTGAGCCAGACTCTGATTTGTAGCCTTTCGCTGAAGCCACTTTTCTTTTTATTTGCTTCTGTTTCTGAACTGTCAGTCTCTTTATTTTTCTGGGGGTACACCGTTCATCAGCAGACTCCTTTTCTTTGCTTCTAAACATCTTGTTTACCTTTTTTTTTGTCTTCTCCACTGTTCTTTTTTATTCTTCTTTTATTCCAGGTGGCCCGACTTTGCATTTCAATTCAGTTCAGGCTTCTCGTTAACTTTGCCCCGACGTTTTTTCCTGTTGAGCTTAGCGTGTTAGCCTATGATGATGGATCTTTAAATATTTTTCTTTTCAGTCTGACTCTTTAATGTGAATTTCTAAGGCAGCATGTGTTTGCACTACTCATGGCTTGAGCTTTATGTGGATGCTGTGTTTACATAGTTTATCTAATGCTCCTTTCAAGTGTGTGTGTGTTTTGCTTGGGGCCTCAAACCCCATGCAGCTGGCTTCTTTACTGCGAGGCGGAAGCAGGGCATTACTGCATGCTGTGTGTGTAAACGAGGAGATTGTCGTCTGTTCCGATCCTCACACTCCTCTTGTTTCTGTCTCTCCGGCAGCACACAGCCAATATGGGACGGACGACAGGGTTAAACTGCCCAACCTGACGGACGAGGAGGTGAACTGGCAGGGACTGGAGGATCTGTATAGCATAAACGAAAGCCTTTATGAATGTAGGCCTGACTACAGCCCCAGCCCAGACGACTGGGTCAACTTTCAGAAGGATGTAGATAATATGTTTGCACTGCGACACGTTTTTAACAAATTCAACCGAACCCATAAGCTCGACAACTCCACCCTGCCAGAGCTGGGCTCCGGGGCCGGGGGTGGAGGCTTTGACGAGGGCAGCGGAGGAGAGTTGGTCTCAGCCAGCGATGTCTGGCCGGGCCCGGCCACGGAGGCTCGCCTCACCACCCCCACCCCCAGTGAAACACCACCCACACCCAGGCCCGCGCCGGAAAGGAAACTGGATTCTGTTGTCAACGACCTTCCCGAGAGGGTCGCAGACAGACCCGGGGTGTCGGCAAAGTCGACGCCACGAGTGGCAGCATCATCATCAGGTCCGAGGAGAGACGAGGTCATCTTGCAGAGCGACACGTGGGCGCAGCAGCTGGAGGAGATCGAAGGAGACGTGTTCAGCGGGAACGGACTGACGGAGCTCGAGTCCCGGCATGACAACCAGCTGGAGCCCGGGCTCGGCCACGTGGAGGTGAGCGGCCCTCTGGGTCTCGGCCTGGGCCTAGACCCTGAAGAAGAGGAGGACATTTTCCAGGCACAAGGCTACCTCCCTCTCTCCCCACAGACACTGAAGCCCGAGGTGCAAGCCAGCACCACCGGGAGCCCCCCCACCACACAGACTAGCACCACACAGACTAGCACCCCGCAGAGCGTCGGGGTGGTCCTGCAGGTGCTGCCTCAGTCAGCGCTGCCCCTCACCTTGGACTACGAGGGCAGCGGCTCTCTGCCTCAACCCTCCAATCAAACCCTCTGAGGGCAGATGCGAGCGCCGGCCAATGAGCTGCCGGTCGCCACAGAGACACGGTGATTGCGAGATGAGCTCGCCAAGAGAAGCGGCGAGCGATGCCACCTCAGTCAGTCAGAGTTGTACAATGAGTATTAAAATTATTGTTTATTTTTTTACAGGTGCCTACATTGGAATAAACAGTGTTATGTTTTCTGTTTTTTTAAAATATATATTTAGAAGAGAAAAAGCCTTAATGCAGCTAAACGTTAGTGTTGGGAGAATAAATGATTAAATCCATACAGATAACACCATTGACGTTTTTATGAAAAACGAGTGGGTGAGTGAAACGTCTGCATGGATGATTAGCATTAGCATCTCTAAAGAATCTATTAATCATAACGCTGCCCCGTCAGAATAGTAACCACTCTAGTTAACGGCTAAACTGACCCCAAATGCACTTTTTAACATTTCCACACTGTCACCCTCTGTCTGTCACGACTGATACTTTCAAAACCAAGACAAGAACTTTCACTTCAGAAAATCTAAAGAATCAACATAACATCTGATTTACTATTATTTTATTGTTTTAACCCTTTTCATATAGGAATGTTTTTTTAGCCTTTTGTTCATATGGCAATAATAGGATCACACACAGACTTTAGACAATCAACAGTCGACCAGCTGCAACAAACATCTGGCCCTCTGATGACGGGCACCGCTCACAGCATCATAATTTAAAATGAGAATATTAATCACAAATGCTCACACAATCACCAGGGGATAGAAAACATCATGTAACTTTTTTTTCCCATCAAGTGTCACGTTGTGCTGTTTGACGTCGTGCTTTGATAATCCAGAGTATAGAGTTGCACAAGGCAAATTCATTTTGAATGTAAATGTGCAGTCCCATCAAACTGGTTATACGACATCACATCACTGTGTCAGTGAAATACTGAGTGTTGCATTCATCTGAGGGTGTAATTTTATAAAGTTTTCTGCCAGTGACATCTGTAAAAAGCTAACTGAGATGTGCGTTCTGGTTAGAAACGCTAAACCTTGACGTTGTGTGTAGATGTTAGAACAACTCTGGTTTCAGGAAAGCCATGACGCTGTTAAAGAAATAAACTCTTTCCTTCTTCCTAGTCCTGTTTCCGCCTCAAGTGTTTTCCCACCGCACGATACAATAAATTCAATCAGACGGGTCATTTTTTTCAGTTTTTTTAATGACAAATATCAAGTATGCAAGGCATTTGTAAACCAAGTGTTCACAAACATCCATCAGACTTCTGCTCCTGAGGAACACAAAGCGCTAAGAGCTCGACTTTCTGCTTCTGTTCTTGTCCAGGAAATTCACCTTCAGTTCAAACGCTGACCAGAGGAGAAATGTGTTAAAGTGATTTTTACAGTCGACCTGAAGTCGCCTGCATCAGTAGTCGTAGGGATCCAGGCGTCGCAGGACGCTGGATTCCAAAGTAGTAGTTTTACAGTACAGAGTCAGACAGCCGTAAGTTTAGTGTGTCCAACGATCAATGCGACGTTTCAGGATGATTCTCTAACCTTCCCTGTAAAAAGCAAAATGTTTAGTTTACCTTATTAAAGGAAGGGTGTCATTGACAAAAAAACAATGTTGACCCATAACTATGGTCACAGAAGTTTACTATCTCAGAATTCCCAATAGAGTTTTACATTTACATCCTTAGAATTGTTTTTTAAATGTGCCACCAATTTCTTATTAGCAAACTTTCAATTAAAATGAATTCATTTGATTTTAATATAAAGCAACTGTATTAGATTCTATCCTCCCTCACATCAGAGGAAATGCTCCCTTTTAAAAAAAACAACAATTTGCCACAGATTTCATTTAGATACTTGATTTATCAAAATTTTTAAACACAGAAAAATGCAAAGTTACCACCTCTTTGATTTCTTTACAGTCGTCGTCAACAGGAGAGTAACTATAAACAAATTAGAAGATAATCTTGTTAATTCAGAAAAATGTTACTCATGAAATTCTGAGATAATAAACTGATGAATTCAGAAAAAAGGGCAAACATTTTTTTCCTCAAGTGAATGCTTCTGTAGATTTCACAGGTTTACACACTTCTTTTTTCCAAGATGTTTAGAGGATCAGAAGAACATCTGTGCATCTAGTGAAGGGAATAAAAGTTTAATTTCAAGGAAAGCTCCGGATGTTTTTTGGGCTTTTCCATTATCGCTGGACTTTGTTTTCAGCTGCAGAAGGAAGGAAAGAGAATCGTTACAGATATAAGGATGTTTTCGGGTCGTTTACGTCAGCTTTTAAATGTACTTCGTTGTGCAGTCCTCTTAATGGAAAATAATACATTGCAATAACCCCCCCACCCATACACACACACACACACACACA